AATATGGTGTTTTTGACGAGATAGAGTTATTAGCCCTATGCCCAACCACCAACTTGGAGGACCAGGAGCTATGTCTGCCACTGGGTCACTCACCACCCTGTGGTGTGAGTTGCCTCCAATAGGCTGACGGGTGGGTCTCACATGCCCGAGGGGGCGAGGTATCTCAGGCAGCGTGTCTTTCCGTGGTGGACGGTCACTCAAATCAGTTGTTCACCCATCCAAGTACACCGGCCCCCTATATATATATTTGCATAAATGCTATCGTTGGTATTATTTATTATTTAATTGTATTGATTGCAGCGATATAAAAATGAAAATTTGTTTATGTACCGGTATTGAAACAAATGAAAATACCCATAATAAAATATAAATAAATATAGCTGCTTTCTTTACCTGTGGCACTCTTGTCGGACTAAAAATATTTCACGACACTTAATTTATCATTATCAAATGAACAATTGAAATATACAGTGTCAAACAACTAAAATATAATACATTAGAAGGCTATGAAAAACATATGGTAATCAATTGTTTTAAATAATGTATCTTTTCTTCTGTAACTTTTATTTTCACTTCCCATTATCTTAAAATACTTATTTCTGCTAAGAAATGGGTGGTAATTTAAAGTTGTGTGATCCGCGCACCACACCACATTTTTACTTTCACTTACCTATATATGAAATATATAGTAAAGGAAAGTATTGTGATTGTGAAAATTTTCGAATCTCAGTTTTCAACGGAATTGCATGTTCTGAGGTCTCCTGAGTCCAAATAACCAAGTCCCGCAATGGTCTGTTTGTGTGTATGTCTGTGTGTGTTAACAGTCTAGCTCAAAAACGAAGAGTTGTACGAAAGTGAAATTGCATATTTAAGGTTTTTATATACTAATGATGTTACAGCAACTTTTTCGCCAAAATTGGCTTACCGGAAGTGGCACTTTATATAATGGACTTAACACATTCTTATGATTTTCTCCAAAACGGCTCTTACGGTTTTGATTAGATTCACTATATCAATGTATGTAAAACTAAGCAGTTTTAATTAAAATGTAGGTTTTATTCTGATTGACGTTCTCTAACAGGACTTAAATGGCTAATTTTCAATAGTAGCTTCCTCTTAAGTAGCTTTCATTTTTTCTATTTGAAACAATTGTCCATTTTACATTAATCTCTAATATAAAAGATAGTTAAATATTAGATATGAAAGAATTTGATAATTAACTAAAGGAGAAATAAGAGATCCTAACGGAGAACAGTTGTAATTGAAGAACCAAAGCAATGCGAGCTCGCCTAAAAGATTAGAACAGGTTTCCTTACGTAATATGAGCCTTATTTCTGCCAAGAAGAGGGTGGTAATTAAAAGTTGTGTGATGCACGCACCACACCATATTTTTTATAAATAGTACAGATTATAGCTGCTGACCACTCACTTGACATTTTTTCATCCATCCATATATCCCATATTATGTGGTACACTTTCCAAAAATCTCTGCCTCCATACTTGAGGAGTTCACTTGGGGGCCATCAATACTTAATTTAAGGCTTTATTATTTCTTAATTCCATTAAGATTTAAATGATCTCTTCTCTGTCCCGGAGTACATCTTCATCCTTTATTCCATCTCCAATTCCTTTTATCTTCCAGAGTCAGCTCACTAGTACCAGAGCAGGTGAATTTCTTTTCCATAGTATTGAGCCCATCTATCGAGAATTCATCCTACATCTGCCATAAGATTTCTTCTCTCATCCAGGGTGTAGTTTGAGTGGGATTTGAAACCAGTTCTAATGCTCTTTATACCTTTGTAGAACTTCCTGCTTTCTTTCTTCTCATAAGCATACCATATTTTGTTTTCTACGGTTGTTCTTTTCTTTCTACATAGGTTCTTTGCAATTGCTCTCAGGTTAACATACTCCTTGTTTATTTTCCTGATCCTTCTCTATAGCAGTTTCTTTTTGGCTTTATTTCTATTATGTGTTGCCTTTTGGCACTCTTCGTCTTATCAATCCTTCCTCTTGGGCTTTTTTGTAGCTACTAGGGTTTCAGAAGCTTTATTCAGAATTTCCTTCAATGAACCCCATCTTTTCTCTATATTTGTCTTTTCTTCCGCTGCGGTTTCCTGGATGTGAATTTGGAGCCTTTCTCTGTATCTTTGTCTGATCCGATCATCCTTAGGAGTTTCCACATTGTAAGTCGCATTCATCTTTGGGATGTTTTGCTTTTAGACTATTGTCAGTCTTTGTTTATACTTGCCAATGACTAAATATTGGTCACTGCTGCATTCTGCTTCACAGTAACTTCTTACGTCTGTGACGTATGAAGAGTGCCTTTGGTCAATGAGGATATGGTCTATTTGTGTTAAAGTCAAGCCATCTGAAGATATCCAAATTTCTTTGTGATATTGCTTGTGTGGAATTTTATTCTGAGCCCTCTGGTCATAACAAAATCAATCAATCTGAAACCATTCTGACTAGACTCATTATGCTTACTTTGTCTTTCAATGGTTGGAACAAAGGCTTCTTCTTTACCGATCTTAGCATTCTTATCTCCCATCACTATGTTGACATCATAATGAGGGTGTCTGTCATATATTGTTTCTATCATCCATAGAACGTGTCCTTCACCTCTTCATCATTTTCTTTGGTTGGGGCTTATTATCGATATATTAAAAAACGTCCTTTGAGTATCAGCGTGCAAATTCTTTTGTTGATTGTGCTGAAATTCAAGAGGGTGTGCTTTAGGTTTCTCCTTATCATGAAGCTTGTCTGTGCCATATTTTCCCTTATATTTTTATATATAGGGGAATGAAAGAAAAAAAATCAGGTTAGACATAATCATTTTAGTGTACTAAAAGTCGCCTGTAATATGAGAATCACTTGTATATGTTTACAATAAGTATCCTCTATAATTTTATGAAATCCCAACTTAACATAATGGAAAATACCCAGCTTACTTCTATAGCAAGATATTGGCTCTATCTCTTTAAAGAAACTGATTTTTCTCTCTTGAGATTATTCTCTTTAAAAGAGGATTGACAAAAATATGTATCAATAAAAATTAAATTAATTTTTGGAGAAAGGTAAATAGTCGACTGATCAATTATGAGGATGAAACAAAATTGTCAGGAATTTCAGGCACAATAATATTTATTTGGTTAGCCGAAATTTGATTCAAACATGTGGGTCATCATTAGGGTTATAAAAAAAACAAAAACATAAATATAGTATTTCAATCCGGATCATATTTACATCAAAATTGTCTGAATATGCAATATCACTTGACCATTCTTTTGATTTAGATATCCCATCTATCCTCGCTACCATTCTTAACCATGAAAAATGCCTCCTTACCGAATCAATATTTATCCACCTTGAAAAAAACAACCCCATTAACCATAAAGTAGATAATGAGACAATTACATCAACCTACTCCAACATCTGCCTTCTAAAATCATAATATTTAGTTTTAACTCTTTTTTATTTCTATAGATTAATACATACCATCAACCATTATGTATATATTAAAAATCTTTTTGGTTACTATTTATTAGTTATTATTATATATATGTTAGTTTTTAAATTATTTATAAGTTTTAGTTCATATTCCAGTTTTATCCATTCTTACCTAATTATGTATTTCTAATTTTTATTATCTGTTAATATTTTTATTGTATTTTGACATATTTTTAATATTTTGGTTAAATAACCGTTAAATGGCTGTTACTCTATCGCTTCCCATCTAAACACAGATTTCTGTAAACTTCTCAGTTCTTGTCTCGACATCGATAGGTAACTGTTAAGAAACTGTTTATATTCATTAAACTCTGGGTACTTAAATATTAACGCCACTGCAGCAAAAATTCTGCTAATGTGCCAATCTACACCTAAAGTTTTTGCAACAAATTATAGAATAAAAAACTTTATATAAAATCAAAACATTTTAGTTATGTAAAGTAATCAATCAGATTTCGGTGGAAAATTGGCCGATATGGAATTTAATATAGATTCAAAACAGTCTCTATTTTCTCTATGCTGTCGCCATATAAACTCTGATAAATAAGATTTCAAATGATGCCCCCTTTTTCTCTTTTTCCTCCATTTAGCACTACCTCACATTCTCTCATCTGTATGAACTCCTGTATCAGGATCAATAAAATTGTATTTATGATTAATCTTAGCATGTAGGAATCCTTCTTTTATTAATTCTATTTGGTTGGTAACCTTTCCAACTCTCACAATAAATTTTGCTGCGGTGGTATTAATACGTAAGAACCAAACTCTGTTTCTAAATATATATATATATATATATATATATATATATATATATGTGTGTGTGTGTGTGTGTGTGTGATTTGTTGCTATATATTTGTTAATTTTTATTTATTGAATTGTTTTTGTTCTTGTTATGTACTCTAATTACTTTTTTTTTTTTAATTCCTACTTTTGGTATACTTTCCCTCTTCATTTATTCATTTCTTATCATGTTTCAATGTTGTTATTATTGTATACTTTTATTTTTATCATTTTATTATTTTATTCTTAACTCTTATTACTATTATCTTATTAACTTATTCTTATTACTATCATCTTGTCACTGTTATTTTGCACTTTTATTACCTTTACAATTTTATATTTATTATTTTACTGATATTTTTTTATTACGTAATTTTTAGCCATGACGATGGCCCACATGTTAGGGTCGAAACATCGGCTAACCCAATAAATATTATCGTAACTGAAATCCCTGACAATTTTGTTTCATCCTCAAAATTATTTGTTTAATTAATGTGTTTTTTGATTTTGATCTTTTTTGATTTCGTCATTTCATAAAAATAATAAAAAATACTTTAATAGAAGAATAAGGTGTAGTTCAGCGTTTCATTGCACCTTCAAGTTTTTTTTTTTGTTTTTTTTTAATCATACTTCAACATAAATAGTAGAATTATTACTTAACCTTCTGAATTTCCTCATTACTTCTTACAACAACAAAATCTCTTTTTTTCTAGAAATTGACAAATGATTTTAGTCTTCTTGGACTGATTAGAGATATGAGAAAACAAAGGATAGCTATGGTTCAGACAAAAGAACAATATGTTCTTGTCCACCAAGCTGTAAGAGAACTTTTTAAGGAACAATTGTGTATGATAGATTCTCATCCTTATGAAAATGTTGATCCAAATGGTCTATTAGTTATTAAAGATGAAGAAAATACATATGACTGCATAGAGTATGTTTCAACATGTAGTTCAGAAGGTAGATATACGCTTGTTCAAATATGTATATTTATACCTAATCAATTTAATCGATTCTGAAGTTGCTTTAAAATATGTGATGTACTCTTTTACACATTTATTCTATTTTTATTTCAATGATATTCCTATTGTTTGCAGAAAAACATGATAACAAAAAAGAAAAGGAAATAAAACCTCCACCATTACCTTGTAAAAGGAATTTGACCATATTTTCTTCAAAACATGAAAAAGATGTTGAAAATTTGACTGCTCAACAAAGAGCTATTTATTCTCTTTCCAACAATAAAAACTGCCTTAATATCAGCCAAATAAATGATAAAAAAAAAAGTAATAATAGACCTCTTCTTAAAACTAGCATTGATAAGTCAAGTAAAAAGGGGTATGATAATCAGATCAAAACAGACAATAACAAACCTATTCCATCCAAAGGGATTTTGCGTGTGCCTCAATTAGAAACATTAGCTCCAAAATGTTCTTCAAGCATTAAAAGGAGTAAATCCCTAAAGGTAGTCAGTAGTTTTGATAAAGGTAACTTAACTTTTTGTCCTAGTAGTCCTAGTGAAAACAAAAGGAGATCAAGTTTAGAATCAAATTTTGATGAGCTTGTACTTGACACAGAGTATGCATTGTATGATTTGTCTAAATTGGAAATTGATCATTTTAAAGAGCAAAGAATAAAAAATGTATCACAAAAACCGAATAAGTATGATATAATCAATATTCAGGAGCAACGGCCATTTTTACGGAGCCTCACATCTCTGGATTTGCGTCAAAAACTACATTCTAATAATTTCAGTTCAGGAATTAGTTTAGTGCCATTTCCAGATGAAAAAGTCAAACAAAAATGTAAATTATTGAGGTCAAATACACAAATTAATGTTGTTAAAAGGAATGATCCTATGTTGTGTGCTCCTAAACATTCTCTTGAACCTAATGCAATGGATCAGAATTCTCAAGGAAATTCAGATGAACATAACAGCCTCTATTCTCATTTGCTGAATTTTTCTGTTTCTGTAGATAATTATAAAGCACAGAGTCTTCATTTTTCTAGAAGGCATACTGAAAATAGCTCTTCATCTGTGAAACAAAATGTAACAAAACCAAATTCTGCTTTGAAAGAACCATTTCATCGAAAAATTAATGAACTACCTAAAAGTTCAATACATTCTTTCCGCAATGTCAGAAAAAGTATCTGCAACCAAGTTTCTCGAGACCAATCGAAAATACATTTAACAAATATAAGGCCTGATGCCAATGCTTTAACTCTTGATAGTTTTACAGCAGAAAAAAGTTGTAAATCAGTTTCAAAACAAGATAAATGCCCCCCATTTGGGTTAAAACTGTTAACCTCAAGTTCTCATTCAGAAAGTTCGGATTCTTCTCCTATAAACTACCAAAATTCATCCTATTTAAGAACAAATCATTTAAAGCAAATAAATGTCAAAAAAAAAATACAGCATGGTAAACCTGTAGAAGTACCTTTAAAAAATGAACCTTCAATTTCTACTCATAATTTTCAAAAAGATTCTTATAGCTGTATTAATCCTCATCGAGAAGATGCTAGATCAAGACAAATAAGCGGTAACTATGAAGATTTTATACCTTCCAATAGTTTTGTAATTGATGATCCTGCTTTCGGAGGCCATCATTCTAATTCTTTTTTTAATGATCGTTTATTCCATAGTGATGATATGAATGATCTTGAACATGGCCTCTGGATTGAACGAGACAGAATGCCTATTACATATAGCAAGCGTAAATCTAGTAAGGATTATTTTGTCAATAGGTCTAGGCCTCATCCTATACTCCATAAGGCTGAAAACAAAGATAATTCACGGACGTTTAACAATGAGTTGGATGGATCTAAAACTAAAGCTTCTTCTGTAATGATTGAATCAGTTATTGAAACTGATGGCTGTCGTGATCTCAATACATTTGAGGCTTCGTTTAATAAAGATGGGTCTTCTATATTAGTGACTCCTAGTGAAATTAAATATCCAATCCAGAATAGAAAGAATGTTCATCAATATAATGTACCACCTCATGGTGCAAGAAATTCAGGGATGACAGTTTCTAACAACCATGCTGATATAGCAGGTTGTTTAACTAATCGACCGTGTAAAAGTGCAATTTCTCAACAAAGATGTGTTGAAGCTCCCGCCTTCAGTCAAGAAAGTCCCTTTTTTACCACAGGTAAGCATGATGTATTCTGTATTTCATTGTTATATTTATATTTTTATCATTAAATTTTTAATATATGGTCTATGTTCACTAATTAAATAATGAGAGAAAGAGAGCCCATCTTAACCTCTGTGCCTTCATATCATAAGATATTGATTGACCAGTTTCTGTAAGCAGCTCTTCATTAATCTTTCTTCTCCATGTGTTAGTATTCTGATCCCAGATTGCTCCGGTTATTGTGCAGATGGTTTTTCTTTCAATACTTTTGTCTAGGGTGCTGTTTACATGTCCAGGTCTCATAGTATTGTACACCCTTAATTTGAGATTTGTTGAGACTTTCAGGATTTAAATACCTTTGAAAGAGAATAGAAATCTCTGCCTGCACTTTTTATACGCTGGTCTATTTGAATTTACTTGTTGTCCGATTTGTTCTGCTTCTTTTATCGGAGTCTGGTAATGAATGAACAAAATCAGAACAATATATAATTATATTTTAATTTTTGACTTATACTTTGAATAGAATATTTTTTTTTAAAACAATAATAATGATGTACTGATTATAATTTATTTTACTTGAATAGTATTTTTTGTATTAATTTTTATAAATATGTTGTTTACTGTGATGTGCATTTTATCTTCTCTAGACACCCAGAAGAATTACAGAGAAAGTGATTGTTTTCATTCTGCTCCTGGTATAGATCTCGATCAAGTTGCTGCTAGCATAAATAAGAATGGTACAATAAAAAGTATCTAGTTTTATTAATATTGAAAGTAAAAATTAATGTGATTCATATGACCTATTTTATTAATAGTTAATTAGTAAATATTTTAAGTTTGAACTATAAAATAAATAAATACATTTTCTTATTTTTTCTCATCTCTTTAAATATGATTTTTAATCACATTTATCTTCTGTTATAGATGGCAACCTTATGAAGGTTACCCTGGAAGCATTTCAAGCTCGGAAAACTAAGTTGCAAATGACACCGAAAGAAAAAGTATCATTAAAAGGTATGAAAATGTTATAATGTATTAAACGATGGAGGCCAATTAAGTTTAGGGAAGGGGCACAAAGGTGTTTTAATATATAGGAAATACAGTATAAATCAGCTTATACTGATTATAATTTTACTTGTGGTAATATCAATCTCAACAAATGGTTTTCCCATTTTCAAAACTTGCTAAACCCTCTAGTTAATGCTTCATCTTTGTTGTACGCTGAGCCATATGTTTATTCTAATATTCTTGATCAACCTTTTAATCTATGTGAACTGCAATTAGTGATTGATAATTTAAAGAATAACAAGGCCCCGGGCATGGGCAGAGTGTCATACAAATTTTACAAGTATGCTCTTGATGTATTTGTGGTTAAACTGTTGTCTCTGTTTAATCAAATTTATGAAAGCGATAACCTTCCAGCTTCCTGTGACAAATCTCTTTTATTTCCTCTGTTTTAACGTGGTGACATCAATGAAGTTCAAAACTATAGAGGGATATATTGCTGGGATGCATCAGCAAAAATTTTTACAGGTTTTCTTTTGCAATGGTTGAAACTTTTGTTTTGTTTAATAGTATCTCTAGAAATACTTTAATTTTAAAATTATATGATGTAGGGGTCTCAACTAAATTTATCAATACTTTATAAAATATTTATTCACCATTTGAATCGGCAGTTTGGGAAACAGAGAATTTTGGAGTTTTTTTCCTGTGAATGGTGGTGTATTCCAGAATTGTTTACTCAGTCTGCTTCTATTCTCTTTGTATTTGGACGATTTGTCTGTTAGGCTTGAAGAAGGAGTTTGAATAAATGATACCTGTCAGTGTTTTAAAGTATGTTACCGACAATACTGTATTTCTTGCTGAAGATAGGTTACCCTGCAAAGAAATAAAAAGTTTTTAGTTTATACCGAGAGGCCTTGCAAAAAAATCGACATTATTTAACGAAAAATTTGTAAGCATTTTTTAAAATATTTATATTTAAAATAACGAGAGTCTTCAGATCTTGTTACTTGTAAAAATAGCGGCTAATTTAAAGAATATTAAGGGATTGTCTACAAGGGGAGCGTGTTGTCTCCACTTTTGTGGTGTTTGGTCATTGACTTCCTGACTGAAGCTTTTTATTTTAAACTTAACAATGTGGGGTTTTATACTCAGGGATATGTCGACGATGTCACTGTATCAATAGGGGGCAAATTTCCGGACACAATCTCTGGACTACTCTAAATACTATGGAACTTATGTAAGAATGGTGCCAGGAAATTGGACTTGTCATAAATCCACAGAAGGTGAATCTCTGTATCTTCACTAACAGAAGAAATATACCGCTGTTTCATGTGGAGGTTTAAAAAATGGTGGCTGATTTAAAGAATATTAGGCCAGTAACTTAAGAATCGAAACAGGAAATTCATTGCAAAAAATGAAGGAAAAGTTTTAATTTTTTTTTAACTTGTATATATGAGCTTAGACATATAAAAAACAAAATTGCTAACACAGGCCACCAAGGAAAAACCTTTTATGGCCATAACAGCCAGATTTTTTTCACCTTTTGTTTGTTTTTTTACATAGGTAAAACATAATGTTAGGAGTTATAACTTCTAAACGGTGCGTAGAAGCGAAAAACTTACTTCTTAAGAAATTAAATTAGAATCTTAAGAAATTAATCTTAAATTTTGCATCAAATGAATACCTAAACATAATAATTTGGTTAAGTGGTATGGTTGATAACCACAGTCAACAAACACCGACTTTTACAACAAAAAAAAAATGAGATCAAGTACTATAAATGACCCTGCAGCTTGGAAATGAGTCCTCTAAGAGAAAAAAACTCATAGGATAAATGTAGTAGAGCATCAAATTCCATGTCCTCTTAGCACCAACAGTTTTAATGTAGGTCACTTACTCCGGAAATCGGAAAGGAATAGCGATGGCTGGAAGTTGATAATGAAGATATCTGTGATTTTAAATATTTCAACAGTATGGTTGTTTATTCTAGTGAGTTGTACTTTTCAAGAGTCTAGTATATACAGTATAGTACTCTTTTCCACCTCTCAGCAGCAAAGGATTTTGAGAAAGGAAGTATCAGAAGAAACCGAATTTCATAAAGAAATAATAAATCCTAATTCAAGATGTATAATTGACCTACTTTTAAAACTGGTGTTACTTGTGGACGCGGAATTTGGTGCTCTACAACATTTATTCTATGAGTTTTTTCTCTTAAAAGACTCATTTCCAAGCTGCAGGGCCATTTATAGTAATTTGTGTCAGTTTTTGAGGAATTCAGTTAAAATCAGTGTTCGTTGACAATGGTTATCAACCATGCCAATTAACCAAAGTATTATGTTTAGGTATTCATTTGATGCAAAATTTAATGTTCTTTAATTTCCTAAAGAGTACGTTTTTTGCTTCAATACACCATTTAGGAGTTATAGGTGAAAGTTAAGCACAATTTAAAAAGATGCTTATTGAGTGGACTGTCCAGTATACAGTCATATCACACACCTAATGGTGCTCCTCTCCATTAGAAAAAGTGATGCACTTCTCTTGTGACATGGTCCTTCTAGGGACAACTTGATTAAGTTTGCTTTCTAGTCTGCTCTCAATAGAGCTTAGTTTTATTTTCAACTGCAGCCTTAATATGCCTTTTGGCATAGCTGAGGCTAATCCCACAGATGGGCTCTAGTGCTACGGGTATTTCTGCAGAGCCGTTCCTAGCAATACAATCAGCTTTCTCATTGCCTAGAATACCTGAGAGTCCATTAACCCATTCAACCACCACCTTGTTGGTGCTTAAGAGAATGTTCAAATTAACTTTACATTCATCTACCAACTTGGAGCGGATTGCATGATTTTTCAGGGCACCAATCACCGCTTGACTATCCCTAAAAATTGAAATCAATCTAATCATAACTTCCTCCCTTATTAGGGATTGAATGAAGGAGTCAATAGCTAATACCTCGTCCTGAAAGATGGATATATATCTACCTAGAGATATTTTCATATATAATATTCTCATATTAGGTTTATCCCTACTCCAGAAGCCAGCCCCTGATCCTTGCTCCCTCAAGGACCCATCAGTATAGCAGTTCACTCCATTACAGGGTCTCTGCGATTTTGTCCTGCCTATCATTATATTATAGTGTATATCTCTGTATTGAAGGTCTGAGTTCACCGCGAGCACCTTGTTACTATCAATCTTATGAAACACAATTCCATGTCCCTGAAATATCAGAAATTTTGATCATGTTCCTTATTTATCCATTCTATAGGCAGTTCTAAGTGCAGGTGCTTCCATTTCTATGTGCAGTGGTGTTAAGTTCAAAAGAACTTTCAGTCAAATTAGACATGTTGCCTTGCAACAAACGGTTGGGTAATTCAAATTTATTTTTTATATTGTTCGGTATGCAGTGAGTATAAAACGTCAAAGTTTCCGCCCTTGAAAGCCTTGAGCAATGGTCCGCTGCAATGCTCCAAAAACCATTGAAATTTCAAACTTTTTTTGGTTTATGCTAATTATCTCCTTTTTAAAGCGACATAGGTAAAAAATGGTTATATTCAATCTTAAACAACCTAAAATTACCTAATATTTTTGTACATAACATTTTATTCTAAACCCAACAGGAAGCGAACTATCGAGCTTTCAAAATTTATCCATTTCAATTTCTTCACAATAGTGATCTTTCAGTTTTGAATGGAAGCATTCTGTAACTCCATTTTGAATCTGGTGCAGGGAATTCGGAGGTTTTTCTTGAAGATAATGAGCCATTGACTGGAATGGTAGACAGTAGTCAGGAGGTTTTTTTAAAAAGTATGTTCCAGGATGGATCAGACCACGCTGCCATGCACCTTCCCCTTACAATAAATTGCATATAGTTGTGTTCCTTGTAACTATTTATTATAAAAAAAGCCATTGTTACCATTAAAAAAAAAGTGGCCGCACTGACCCAAAATGGCGTTCTAACATGGTAGATTGGCATCTTTGACTTAAGTTAATTTTTCAAGTCACAGAGTTTTGGCTTAATTTCATCAAGTTTTTCAATTCGTTTTGACACAAGTCAAATCAAGCATCTTTTGTAAATAAACTGCCAACATAACAAAAACACCCTGAAATAAAATATCTGGCGAATACATTATTCTTTCTAGAACACCGATTACTTTTTAAAATATTTGAAGCAGTTACTTTGAAAATACACTTAATCGGCGGAAAAGCGGGACTGGCATAGGTGTCTAGAGTCCTCTGCCACATCATTAAATACTCATAAATGGCATAGTTATAGTGCTATAATGATTGTATTAACGAAGAAATATTAGTACTGTTCGAGAACTTGTTAACTATGATGAACGTTTGAATTTTTTTATTTATATTACAATGTGAAATGTATTATTTTTAATTGCAGGCAATACTGCTGTTATGAAAGATTATTAAAAACAGATATTAACTATTAGTAGAATCAAGGTGTGTTATTAAATTTGCTTTGTAAAATTTGCTAAAATAAATATAATTGTTTGTGTGTGTTCTTTTTTTAAATTGCACTCAATCACATTGAGTGCTACTTTACTCAAGTTTCCATTGTTATTCACTTTTTTGTATTATGAGAAAATTACAATAATTTAATTGTCAATTTTTTTATTTTATTTTTTAAAAACGTTTTTAATCCATTTTTAAAGCTTGATAGTTCGTTTCCTGTTAGGTTTAGAAAACCATTTTATGTACAAAAATGTTAGATAATTTGAAGCTGTTTAAGATTAAATATAACCATTTTTTACCAATGTCGCTTTAAAAAGATACTTAGAGTAAACCAAAATAGTTCGAAATTTCAATGGTTTTTGGAGCTCTTCAGAAAACTCACAAGGTTTTCCAGGGCGGAAACTTGGATTTTTTATAGTCACTGCATATCTAACAATATAAAAAAGAAATTTGAATTACCCGACCTTTTGCAGGCTAGACCACTATTTTTGTGCTAATTTGACTGGGCTAATAAGACACGCAAGTCTTAGATGTTTACAAAACTAAGCTTTAAGCTTGCTTGCTGCAGCCCCATAGAGGAGTAGGGGTCTAACCGTAGTCTTGTATAGCCATAAGGTCATTCTGGGTTTCAAATCTCAGGATTAGCCAACTATTCTTTTACACGCCCATAAGAAACATAGAGCCTCACTACTGATCTTCTCAATATGAATCAGCCATTTCAACTTACTATCCAGAGTAATCTCAAGATGTTTTACTTCACTACAGATATTACCCAGTGACCCATTTAGAGATGGCAATATATTTCTTCTGTCAGTGAAGATACGGAGATTCACCTTCTGTGGATTTATGCCAAGTCTATTTTCCTGGCACCATTCTTTCAGAAGTTCCATAGTATTTTTGAGCAGTCCAGAGATTGTGTCCGGGAATTTGCCCCCTATTAATACAGTGATATCGTTGGTATATCCCTGAGTATAAAACCCCACATCGTTTAGTTTAAAACAAGAAGTTTTAGTCTGGGAGTCAATGACCAAATACCACAAAATTGGAGATAACAAGCTCCCTTGTGGACAACCCCTTTATATTTTTTAAAACAGCCACCATTTTTATAGGTAACAAAATCCGGGTGGCAGACTCTCATTTTTTTTAATATAAATATTTTAAAAAAATGTTTCTTAATTTTCATCAAATATGTCGATTTTTTGCACGAGCTCCCGGGCTATTTAGGCAGCTTCCTGCGGTAATTGGAATTTGACTTTCAATCTTTCTAAATCCAAAATTATGGTTTTTCGGAATGGTAGAAGACTGGTCGCTGCTGAAAAATGGCAATATAGGGGTATGTGAATCAATCTGGTAAATACTTATACCTAGTTCTACCATAAATACTGTTACAAAAGTTGAACTTTGTTTACATCCTTGGGTATTATTTAGATAATCCTTATCTCTATCAGGTTATTTTCTTCACATTTCAGGATAATAATCCCTATTAGTTTGTATATTTTTATTTGCTCAGTAACATGGAGTAGGGTGATAACGAAAACCAATTAGCTGTGATCGCCTTACACAAAGTTGGGAAATGTAGCTTTGAGATTTTCAACACTTTCAAACCTTTGGTTATCAGCCGTATATTCGTGTACCGCACTATAAATAGATATAATGAGGCCCTATCTGTATGTGACAAACCTTGACCGGGCCTCACTGTCTCCGCATTGTGAGAAGGGCAAATGCAATGAGAGTAGTGGCTGCTCGAATCAGAAGAAATCCCATTCGAAAATAACAAATCATGTCTCGGGAAATGGGAATCTCTGTTAGATCAATGTCTCACAGCGTTAATTTATTTTCAACAATAATTTGGTTAATTGTTATTTTGGTATATATATATATATATTCTTAGGCCCATAGCTTATTTTGTTTATATTCAATAGGTCAATAGTTTATACATAAATTGTTATCAATTGTAGCCCTAGCTATAAACAAGTGCCAGGTTTAAGTCCTAAGGGCATAGAATTGACAATAGACAGTCTGACTCTGTCAGTTACTGAGCTGAGTACTGCCAATTTCTACACTGCCCACTGCAGTTCTACTGTGAAGAGACATACTTTTCTCGTCATGCTTACCGCTGCCCATTTGCAATTTTAATTATATGAGCGCTCATATTGAACCTACGTTCATTCTCTGAAGAAGGTTTAGAGTGTCAGCGGTTCATCCTTATCTGCGACCGTCACCTGCTTGAAACTACATAAAGTTGTTCAATTTTAATTGTTTTGTTTTTCATTTAGTTTTGTATAATTCTTACTTCAGGGTTAATATATAGTTGTTAATTTTTCCATTATTGATTGTAATTTTGGGCCATTTACATATAATTTCTTTATTTAATTTCCATAATCAAAGATTGAAATATTTTATTAGATATTTCATAATTGTCTTTATTAGCATCGTATTCAGATTATCATTCTTTTCATTTTAAAAGTTATTATTCTATTTTATCTATTGATACCAGTGTAAAATTGATTTCATTTTATTTTTTATGTTTTCATTATTAGTAGGTGTAAATGTTTCAAAATACAGTCCACTTTCTTTTAAATTACAATCAACTTAATTTGAATAATAGTTAGGCTTGATTCGAAGTTGATTTAAACTAAGAAGGAGCTTAACAAGTGTATTTATTAGAATGACAGGACAAAGTCTAACCACTTCCCTAAAAAAAAATTAGAGTGGATGGCTGTTACACCAATGGTCTTCATCGAAAGATTTTGTATAGCGATGAGAAAATTTTTATGATTGAAGAAAAATTTAATCGCCAAAATGATTGTGTGTACACACACAGCTCTAAAGAAGCGCAGGAAGTTGTTGGAAGAGTGGAAAGATGTCGCCGTTCCTCAGTGATGGTTTGGTTGGAAGTTTGCTTTGATGGCACCCCAAAACTCCATTTTTGTGAAAAAGGAGTTAAAACAGCTGCTTAAAAACTATCAGGACAATATTTTGGAACCTGTTGTCAAGCCTCTAAATGATACTTTGTTTGCTGTAAGTCATTGGGTTTTCCAGCAGGATTCTGCTCCAGCTCACAAGACCAGGTCAACTCAGCAGTGGCTGCAAAAGAACATTCCAGAGTTCATCTCTACCTCGGATTAGCACAGAAGCCGTGATCTCAACCCACTAGATTATCAGATTTGGTCCAAACTGGAGAGGATGGTATGCCACAGAGCACAGCCTAGCTTGGACAGCAAACAATCTCTAGTTCGAGCAGTTGAGCGCTTTCCTGAAGAAGTGCTAAGTGCTGCTATTGGTGACTGATCTCGGAGATTAAAGCATGTCAAGGCAAAATGGTGACATTTTGAGTATTTTTTTTACTCTATAGATATACATTCTATTATCTAATAAAGTTTTGAAAAAACTAATTTTTCTGTTGAAATCTGTATTATTTCCTTGTAACAATATTTATGACAGGACTAGGTAAATATTTGGGTATCACATTAAGTTCCACTCTTTCACTGGTTTATTATTTGAAAGAATGAATATTGGCTGCTAACTGGAATTGGTCAAGTTTTATTGTCCAAGATCTGATCCCACTCATTGCCAAAAAACAAATATTTGATAAGGTATTGCGCTCAAGAAGAAAGAAAAAATTATTGTCTTTGCCACTTACTACATCAAACCACATGATTAATTCAGATACATCTACTTGAGGTATTTACATTAGGGCTGCATTTTAAATATTTCCTTCGTTTTCTGTACTTGCCTGTGAGTCATCTCTAAAATTACAGCAATTGTAGTTATCAAACACAATTTCCCCTTTTCTTCAAGGTTTATACGGTTCCACATGAATATCCTACTTATTCAACATAAAAGAATAAATAGACCATCTACGCATCTCCCTGTAAGCAAATTTTGACCGATAAAAAAGAGATAAACCTATATTTCAGCATATTGGTCTTAGGTTACTATATGTCTGGTTCCTTACAACGTCATATAGAAAATTCTCCTAATTACTGAATGAAAGTATCAATCTCTCATCTAGGGCTAGATCCATTACATATTTCAGTCGATACCAATATTCTAAAAACCGGTATAAATTCACATCTTTTTTTATGCATACACAAAATCTATTTTTTTTTTTTTTTTTTTTGGACTCAAATCTTAAAACATGTATTTCCTATTTCCATTGAAAACTGGGATTCCAAATTTTTCACTATTGCAAATCCTTTCTCTTACTATATGCTTCATTTATAGGTAAATAATAGTAAAATAATTATATGCTATGAAAGTTTGCCTACCAATGAAATTTACTAAAATAAATTAACTTCTAATATAAAGGAAGTGAATTTTAACCATGATTATGTAGTTTTCTCAGGTAATTTCATTTTTTCATTATGTACATTAGGCCTATGCCTAACCAATAAATGCTATTTTCACATTCAAATTTAATTATAAAATTTGTCTCTACTTCTATTAGTCTCCTCCCTAGCTTCTCCCGGTAATTTAGTGCAGACCATCGATGTTTTAATACTTGGACCATACCTAAGTTTAGTTTGACCAATAATTTTCATTACTCAGTCTTTGTGATAGTTAATCTGTTAATACATATTTTTATTAATATTGTGACAAAAGATATTTCTTGCACTTCACTTGTTATTTTATTTAAGACTGAGAAAAATCAGGGAATCCAATTGACCTACTCTCGTAGACACCCTAAGTAGCCCTACATTTTCCTCTGGGGCCATGATGTCTGATAGTGTTATTTGGAATATTTGGACCAAAATTATATTGTAGGAAAGTCTGACTAACATTATTTGTAGGCTTTAATAGCTAAGAAGAACATTGCAAACCAATATCAAAAGGAATTAATAATCAACAAGAATGCATTTAGTTTTAATTTATTTGATTAAAAACAGAAATTTTAATATTACAGTTCTATTACTGATTTATTAACTGTACTATACTTTATAACAATATACAACCTGAAGCTGCCTCAGTTTTATATAAACAGAGATGCCAGTTTTTCTAAATTTACATTGTGCAATATATATCTTGAACAAAAACAATGTAACATTATTTTCTCCAAAATTCTCTTCTTGGAAAAAACTTTTCATTTTAAAATATTTGTATTTATAAGCATTTCATTTAGCCAAATGTTTTCTGTTGTTATCCTTTATAAATTTAAATGACCATATTAAAGGAAAAGTAAACTGTATAACATATCATCTGATAGTTTATTCCATTTTGTTATTATACCTGTATTTATTCTAATTTCCACTTTCTGATCATTTTTTTAGCCTTTTATTTCTTTTTACTTTTCAGGAACTGTTTATCCAGACAATAATGTTGACAAAAAAAAGCAGCAGCAATATCTGTGATATTGTTATTTTATTGATAGTTATTAACCTTGTTATATATTTCATAATAAATTGTTTTTTTTTTTTTACATATTCTAATAATTGAAAACCTTCTGACTTTTCCATATCTAGTTTTTACCATAAGATGGAGTCAAAATTCATTTTAATATATTTGTTTATAGAATTTTAATATATGTTTAATAAAAAAAAGTGTCTATTCTTACAACTATTTCAGAAATTATTACACTACTTAGAGAAGAAATACTATCACTTTATATACATCTCAACTGGTGAATTATAGCCAGTTATAGAAACATTTTTATCTCTTAATTTTTGTTGCTGCAATCTTTCTTTTCGATGTCCGTCCACACCCAGCCCTAATTTTTCTATCAGTACAGCTGAATGATGACCATGTTCTTCCTCGAAATCTCTATTCAATCTCATGGCTTGGTTTGGGTCGAATTTCCAATTTGTTTTTTCATGTAATGTTGGAGTACCTACCAGCGATTCGAGAAGAACATTGATTACTCCACCATTTATAGATGGTATCCAAAACTGAAAATAAAAGAAGTATAAATTAACAAAAAAAAAAAAATCCATTAGATTCTATTTTCAACTTAACTAGAACAATCCACCATATTTCAGTTCTTTTGCTTTTCAGTATTTAGTTAATATTTTAAATTTAGTTCTAAGAATCATAGGCACTGGCTTATGGAGGGAGAGGAATAATATCATTTCGCCTTCCCCAATAATTTGAAGTGAAGAATTAAATATGTAAACTAAAATTTATTAAGAAAATATGACTAGCTGGTTAAGCTAATGGCGAAGTGACTTATAGAAATTAAGGTGGTCAGTGGATTACCAGAATTGTGGACCATGCTCATTTATGTTTCCAGGCTTAATGTTTGGGTACCACACATGATTTTTTTTTCAAAAATCACAAAAAATGTTATAACTTCAATACGGCTTAAGCTATCTACTAGGAATTTAGGGCCACACTAACTACACAAAATGACCTTCGTTAACAAACTACAAATGGAGATAAAAAAATAAAAACCTGTAAGTAGTTTTTGTTTATTTATTCCTTATGTAGGCATTAAATAAAAAAAAATTGAAGAACAATAATTCAGTTTTCCAATGGATATAGTAACATCGAATTTGGAGAACATCCTGAAGAATTATGAATGATCGGAATGGTGCAGTATTCCACCAAGACAACGCAAGGCCTCACACCTCATTGGTCACTCGTAATAAATTATTGAGCCTTAGATGGGACCTTTTGCCCCACCCAACCAAGTCTTTGCTAAGGATAATATAGTATTTGCTTGATAATTCTTCAGAAATTAAATTTGATTTTTTTTTTATGATGTGAAGTTATATATTTTGAACTTAATTATTATTAGTTATGGTAATATAACTCAATGGTATTGAAAATTATTTAGTGAATCTTTGTGATGTGAACTAAACTAAACCATTTATAGGTTATGTCGATTTTTAGTTAATTAAATAGTTAAGTTAAGCTAATGAGCTATGTTCCGATAAAAAAAAAAAAGAAGATATATTTTTTTTATTATGATGACACATCTAACAATCATTAATAGGTTTAATTAAATTATAGGAACAATAAGATGTATTCTGGTATATTTTGTCCCCTGAGAATAATATGATTCAGTGATTAAAGATAAATTTGTTTGGTTTTAATTATAAACAAATACTTTCAACAGTGGATCCAGCATATCTAATTGAATATTGTTATATGTATATTAAGGACTTATAAATAAAGAAATGAATGAATGAATAGTATCTAAGGAAGCTAGAGAACAGCATTTATGGATAGGAATGGTTATGGGATTAAAACAAGAGTAGCATAAATATCAAAGGATTTGACAAAGGAAACAGTTCTGTCTACACAATTTATTTTCTAAGAATTAACCTTATTTAACAATTATTTTCTTCTTTTCTTTCACAATTTTTAGGGTATTTGTAAATTATTGGTTAAATTCATGTCTACATTTTATCTTTGGAATATTCCCATTATTATTAATCACTATTCTTTCATATTTCCCACTTCAATAAGAAAAGAGGTGTGAGAATAGCATTCCTTCCCCAATAATTTAAAGGGCAAAAAACAGTAGGATTAAAATCATTAAGAAATGATAATCTACTTTAATGTATAAAATATGTAAACTAAAATAAATTAAGAAAATAGGAAAGCTGGCTAGGTTAAGGCTTATAAAAATATAAAAATAAGCATTTTACCACGCCCTAAATATTCCTATTATTTAAATTATCATTTAGATTCAAAGATAATAATGTATAGCAACACATTCTAGGAGAGACAGAAATACTTTATTTGAAGTAGTAGTAAGGTAGTAAGAATTTACTAACTTTAACTGAAGGAGAATTAATATTGGAAGTGGGGTGCCAGGTTTGTGAATTTTAGGAAGTCCATAAAAACTGGGGACAACTGAATTGTAGGAGATCAGGTTTCTGTAAGTAGGATAATTTATAAGTTTAGAATTTAAAAGAATTTTTTGGTATAGGTTAAATTTGGGTTTTAGTGATGGAGTGGGATCACGGGATGTGGGAGAGTAAGTGGAACGGTCTGATAGGAGTAAAGTCATTTTGTAAGTATATTCTGTATGGTCCATAATAACAGTTTTGTTGCCTTTATCAGCTCTGGTTATGATTATATTGTCATGGGATTTTAAGAAGGATAGGGTAAATGAGAGGTCTTTAAAAAATTTAGGAGAAAGAGAAGAGGAGAACAGTGGGTGTAAAAGATAATTGGAAATAATGTTACAGATGGAAATGCGTGACAACTCCTTATTTTCTTTTTCTATTTGACTGATCACCCCAACTATCCTTCTCTTCATTATTCACTAAAGTCAATCATCAACCCACAATTATACATTATTTCCCTATAAAACTATTCTATTCTATATCAATTAACTAATATATATATGTAGAGAAAGAGAGAGAGAGATTGATTGATTGAATTTGATTGTCTTAGGGCTTAACACTCTTTCTTACAGATAAAAATACTGAAACATTTTGAATTTTACAGTTTGCATTACAATATACATTGTGCCTTATTTATAATATGTGTATGTATGTATAGATAGAAAGTAAACTTTATTCTGGGATGAGGTCCCTTATGAATAAAAATTATGAACAAAAAATAAAAACTACATCTGGCCAAAAATTACATTAATCAATATTAAAGAAAATATAAAGTATCTCAGTAAAAGTATATTAAAACTAGTAAAAACAACACCATTTTGAAAAACGAAACAAAAAACAAAACAATGAACAAAAAATGAATATATATATATATATATTCTCCTCTCTTTTCATATCTCTTATTACATATAATACCAATACTATACCGCACTATTATACAAAATGTATTTATACAGTGGCTCCAAGAGACATTGATACTCCCAGTGGAAAAATAGAAAAAAGATTTTTATGGTTACAGTAGATAAATAAAAGCAGAAACTCTTTAACAGATTTATTTATAATCTCATTTTAAATATGTACAAACTCAATAAAATTAAAATATTTAACTGTGATTATTTAAAAAAAAAATGAATAATTTTACCTTATTAAAAATGATATACACCTCACTTCCTGTTAACTTTTGAATACTATTAATTTAGCCTTGAGAGGGACTGGTTGTATCTGCCCAGTACATCGGCAACCACTTACCAAAAAGCATCTCCAGCGCAAGAAGTCACGTACGGTGAGCTCTCAAGGTAAAAAAGATGTAGGCTGGTATATAGACGGTAAGCTTTCCTTTTTTTTTTTTTTGCACAATCAACCTACCAATCCCTTAAGATACAGTCCACTGATGAAAAACTAGAAAGTTGCCTTATTGAAAAGCATGAGAGTTGTTTTGCCATAATTGGAAAATTTGCCTAAACAGGAGGGGGGTTCTGCGCATGCGCTTGATTTGATTGCCACGTTTTTACATCGTCTCTCACAGTTTCTCTTTTTTTTTAGTGGAAAAAGTTTACTTTTTTTACTCAAAAACTATTAACGCCGAGATCAACACAGCCGCAACAACAATGGACTAATACCACAGTGAGTAGTGTTGATATTTACTGTGTATTCTATAGACAGTGAAACCAGTGTCCGAGGTGCGTTATCGCTAGCCTTATCTGTCATAGCTACGTCTGATACTGCCCACTCTAGCAGTCGTGGCTCTGCCACGGATGAAGACGGACGGAGCTGTGCTCGTCGTTTCTCCGAATTCAAGGACACGCAGACGAAGTTTTATTTTCCTTATTTTTTTTTTTTTAAATGCGATATTTTCATCAAGTGATATCCACTAAAAGGTCTTGTTCTGCTGGCTCCACCCCTCGTAACTCACCACCTAAACAAAAAACTCGTCGCAGTAAGCAATCGACACCCCCCGGAACTCCTCCAGCGAAAAGATTCCACACCAGAACCGCAAGCAGGTACCTCTTCACAACAAATGGTCTCTGAATCTCCATTTTTTACACCCAATCCATACCAGGTGCTTCAAAATGACAGAGAGGAGATGGATTCTGCACCGATACCTAGAGAACCACGGCCTCCTCCGATCTTTATAAAAAATATTAGAAATTGTCAATTATTATGCACCCAATTAAATACAATCTGTCCTGATAGCTTTTCATGCCTTAACAGGACTAGCGACACAAAAATAACACCGGCCACACCTGAAGCCTATCGAAAAATAATCAAGTATTTGACCGAAACAGGTGCGGATTTTCACACATACCAGCTGAGGGAGGATAGATCATTAAGAGTAGTGATAAGAAACTTACACTCCTCAACCCCAACTGAGGTTATCAAGGATGAGCTAACGGCGTTAGGGTTCAATGTTCGCCAAATAACAAACGTTCTGAAAGAAAATAGAGACCAACCAGGAGTAAAAACTAAAATTCCACTGCCCTTATTTTTTGTGGATCTGGAGCCAACACCAGGGGTGGAAAAAATATATGACATACATCGATTATACTATACCATCGTAAAGGTTGAAAAACCATATCTGAAAAAAGAAATCGTCCAGTGCCACAATTGTCAGGCATACGACCACAC